AAAACCATTATACCCTGATTTCCCATTTTCAATGGGTTCAGGGTATAAAAATCAGGGTATTTTTGATATGCCACGCCCCTAAAGTGGGGTAACAATATTATTTGGGGAATCTCTAGAGGAGGTTACAAGTAACTTAACTATCCAAATTCGAAGCTTCTAGCTCTTGTACTTTATGAGATATAAATTTTACGGTTTGCCACGCCCCCTGTGGGCGAACATATATCCAACAAAGCTTTTTGGTCTTGGAAGGTCAGCCCGAGTATATATACAAAATTTGAGGTCTCTACCATCAATAGTGTCCAAAATATAGCAGAATTTGAAAAATCACTATATCTTCAGGTCCGCTATGGCACGCCCCCAAAAGCCGTAGACATATATAATATAATATAAAAACGCGCTCTGATAACTGCGCAGAAAGCAGCGTTTGTGTGGGCAATATTATGAGAATTTGAGTGTTGAATAATTTAATTTCTAGACATACAATTATATGATGTATGTGTATAAAAATAGATGATTTGAAATTTGTATTATATTTAATTTAAATTATTGCGTGTCCATGTTTGGGACTAAAATCTTAAATGTGTCTTTAGTTTGATTTATATTTTTACTCCATTTTTATACCCTGAACCCATGGAAAATGGAAAATCAGGGTATAATGGTTTTATTTTTTTATGTATATATATTCTTGATCAGCACGACGAGCTGAGTCGATATATCCCTGTTCGTCCGTCTGTCCGTATGAACGCAGAGATCTCAGAAGAGATAAGAAAAATTTGTGTGCATACTCGTAAAGACCATAAGCAATACGAGCTTATCATATTTTTTCGACAACTTATCTAACAACTTTTTTTTTTATCAAAAATGATCGAAAATGGGTTTTGTTTCTTGAGCCTCATTTGAATACTATTAGACGTGAAGACTTCAGATTTACTGTCTATATATATATGATGAATACAAACATTTTGTAATCAACAAACTATGGATAAAACGCCCCTTCTCCCGAAATCTGTATTTCAAGTATTGTTTTGGAATGTACACACATTTTTACCATATGATTACGCTCTAAAAGTTTGATTAAGATTGTATTTCTACAAAAGAAGTTATTCAACAAATAAAATTTTGAAATGTTGTTCTTAGATCCGTGTATATCACGCGCATATTTTATTTTATTTATTTAAAGATATTGACAAAACTAGAGTCAACTAAAATTAAATAGCCTATAGAAAGTACAACACATTATGACAATAAGATCACCAACCCGATGGAGGTATACTATTAGTATATGTATTTTACTTGCCAGTCCGGCTAGCTATGCCCCACTTCACAGCCAAATGTGGTCAGTTATTTTATTGAAATTATGAAAAGACAGTGTTAAAATGGAAAACTTAAAATAAGATATTACAAGAGCTTAAATATAGTTAATCTAATTAAAATTATAATAAATCTTAACGTAAAAGTATTAGTAAGGAAGAAGGAAATCAGTACAAATATTGCAGAAAATAGGGAAAAGAGCATAAGAAATAAAATGGAATGAGTTAAACAAGAAAAAAATAGAAGGAATATCGGATAGGAACTGAGAAATCACTGCACAACGTTGGCAACGAAACTGTATACCAGTGCTTACGTCTGAGCATTGCGAGTGGTTTCCCTAAGATAATTTAATAGAAGAGATTTTATTTTAGGAACAGAGAGCTCTAAGAAAAATACGTGATAATATTTATTGAAATTAACACATAGAACGTAAAACGCATTATGCAAAGAATAATCCGTAGTGCACACAGGTAAATGAAGCGGACGATAATGTCTAGTTTTTCGGGACAGAATCTTAAAATTAAGACGCATCAACAAAGAGGACGAATCAATATCACCGTTAATCAATTTGAGCAGGAAAACAGTACCTAAAATTATTCTGCGATTGATTAACGATGGAAGATCAATGAGCTGAAGCCTACTATGATAAGACGGTACATTACTATCCCAGCTAAGATCCCTCAAGGCAAAGAGAAGAAACTGTTTTTAAACCGATTCGATACGATCCTGATACAGTTTATGCTGCGTAGACCAAATAACTGAGCAATACTCTAAGATGGGACGCACAAGCGAAATAAATAATTGCTTTGCAACATATGGATCTTTAAATTCCTTAGCCCAACGTTTAATAAAGCCAAGTACACTTTTGGCTTCATTTATGATGGTATAAATATGAAGATTAAAATGAAGTTTAAAGTCGAAAAAAAACACCAAGATCTTTGACTGTGGAAAATGCGTTTTAAGGAAATGTTATTAATTTTATAGTCAAAAATATAATGAGTTGTACGACTGAAAGTCATTGTCGTACACTTTGAGCAATTTAGGTGCAACTGGTTTGCCACACGCCAATGTTGCAATGCGTTAAGATCATCTTGAAGGTGTATATGACCATTTGCACTGGAGTATGGAAGTCAAAGTTTTACATCATCCGCATACATAAATATCTTAGAATAAGAGATACAGCTAGGAAGGTCATTTATAAAGAGGGAAAAGAGTAATGGACCCAAATGGCTACCCTGAGGTACACCAGACGAAACAAAGATGGGTTTAGAAATAGCTGTTCTCAGCAAGACTCTTTGCGTTCTTCCCTTTAAATAGGATGAAATCCAGGACACGAGTCTAGGGGAAAATTCCAAACGTTCCAGCTTTAGAATTAGTATTTGATGATGTACGGAGTCAAATGCTTTACTGAAGTCAGTATAAATAACATCAGTTTGCATTTTTTTAGAAAAACTGTCATTGACAAGCGAAGTGAATTCTAGTAAATTAGAGGACGTTGATCGATTTTGAACAAAACTATGTTGAGACGGTTGAATAATTGATTTGCAAAAATGTTGCAAGCCCGATGTTATAATTTTTTCAAATAACTTCGGAATATCAGATAATTTTACAATGCCTGTAAAATTTGAAATATCAGATCTAATGAAAGATCTTTTCCAAATTGAAGGAAACACAGAGGTTTCCAAAAACAAATTAAGCAATTTTAGTAGTGGTGACTGAAGAGACACACTGCACTCTTTAATCACACAACTTGGAATATTATCAGCACCAGGAGAAAAAGATGATTTCAACGTCCTAATGGCTGCTGTCAAAAAGGTAGCACTAGCCTTAGGAGCAACCTTAGGAGCGTAAATGGACCCATATTCAGGAAGTGAATATGGATATGAGTTGCTAGTGATCCCTCTAGAAGAATAAGTGGATTGAAAAAAATCTGCAAATAAATCAGAGGACTCCTGGTCATGACAAGTTTTTTCAGCACCAAGCACAAATGTAAACGGCAAACCAGAACACTTGCGCTTTAAGTTTACAAATGAGTAAAAGTATTTAGGATCTCAAGCAAACTGACGTTTGCAACGTATAAGATGATTCTCATAACGAGTATTTAAAAGATTAACATTAGACTTGGCTATGGAATACTTAGACCAGTCGACACTAGAACCAGACTTTTTACTGTTCTTAAAAAATTTATATTTAATATTTTGTACATTCGAAAGTGTCTTAGTGAACCAAGGCGGTTTATTTGAAAAGGGCGACATACGGCAGAGAGGGACGCACACATGCAGAATAGAGTTTAAGGTTGTATAAAAAAGCGATACTGCCAAATTAATATCAGCCGACTCATATAAAAGGGACCAGTCTATTGAGTTAATGAAATCGTTGAGCAAAACAAAATCGCATTTCCGATAACGACTTGTTTTAGAAGGCAAAGGAGTATATCGAGTTCATCATTAAAAATCGATAATTGCTTCAGATATTTTATTATCGATTAAAATCCTTATCGAAAGGTAGTTGTTTATTGTATTCATACAATTATAATATAGTCGCTCCGAATTTCAATCTGAATTTCGGGTGTCTATTTAATAGAGCGATAATATTAAAATTGCTTAATTCCTTCGCACCTTCATGTATGTATACGTCAACTGTATTTTTGTATTAAAATGTTCTACTTGCAGATGCTGAATGTCGTCAATATTTTTAGAAATCGTTCCAAACTCGTTGGACTGTAGGTCAGAAAGGTAAATATAATTTCTTTAGTTTCGTATTTCGTAATCGAAAGAGTATTTTAAGATTTAGTTATTTACTTTTGTATTTATACTCATTCACGAAAGTGAAATGAGTATATTGGTTTTGTGCAATGTGTGTCTTGTTGTCCGTCCGTCTGTCCGACTGTCCATTTGTCCGTATGAACGCAGTTTGTTTCGGCTCAATTGAAGCTAGACTCTGAAATTTGGAACATATACTCGTATGTATCTCCAATTTATAAAGTCTTACAAATTTTCCCGGTCCGCCCACTAGGGGCGTGGCATAGCGGAAAATGCGTGGCAAATTGAGAACAACTGAATTTTCTACAGCATTAGGGCAAAACTTAGCTACCGAGTTGCTGATGGGGTGTGAATAAATATTCTGCAGTCGGTAATGACCGACTGCTTAATTGATTTATAGTTAAGAAAATGAAATTACCCTTAAGTGTTGACAATATAATGTATTGAACATTGCACACTGCAAACAAAAAATGCTGTTCGAATTATTAGTGGTTGGGGCTTGTATATCCGCCACATCTTTTTGGCGTTTGGCTATCGACCGAAGACCAACCCAAATTCTCTACTGCATATTCCCAGAAGCCAGGTTGAGAATTTCTTGACACCTGGTAATTCGAGGGTGTATACGAGTATATACCTACCTATATCTACCGGTAATAGCAAAATACATCCATACGGATAGTTGGACAAATTTATAATGAAGATGTTATTTAATGCTTTATATTTAATAATATTGTTCTTCATTACAGCTGCAATGGATTCTCTCAGACATAACGAATATCAAACGAATCAGTCCCACCATCAACATGTAACTACGCATTCACAACATGTGCATAACTACATAGCCCCGCACCATAAGAACCATCAACAGCAACAACCACCTGCAGCAACACCACAGCAACAACAAGAACCGCCGCAGCAACACCTGCAACCACATGCTCATTACCAATTGGGTGGTAGCAGCTCACTCTACCCTAGCTCAATCAAAAATTACCATAACTCAGAGCCAGTGGATGCGGAGCGAACCCGATCCACCGTTTATCTGCTGAGCGCGCCGAGTAGTGGTGCTGGCGGTGGAACCAGTACCAATCCGGGGGATGGAGCAGCTTCAGCTTCTTCGATAATGCCGTCAACAGGTATTGCTGCGACTGCATGTGGCGACGATCCACATTTACAATACTATACGTCCAACCGAGATTTAACCGCCGGCAAGAGTTCAACGGAAGCGACGTCTTATCCCGGTTGGCAGTACAAGACGAGCGGGGCAACCGGAGTGGTGCCTGTGCAACGACAGCATAGTAGCGCCATATACAATGGGCCCTACTGGCTGCAGGACGAGCAATATCAGCACCAAAAATTGCATTCAGTACAGCAACAATCGAGTTTAAGATATGGCAAATCTCAAAAGGCCACACGACCTAGTGCAATCAGCAGCAGCAATAGCAGCATTGGAAGCATAAATGGAGGCGAGAGCAGTTTTCGCTTGTACGAGGACAACAGTAAATACTCTACTGCTGGACCTTACGCTAAGGCTGTAAACTATGCATCCACCGCCCGTTACGAGCTACTGGAACAAGTGGTAAATCCGAGTAATGCGTTGCTGGGCACAAGCGATCAGCAGCCCAGTCCCAATTATGCGCGCAAGTGTCCACAGCATTACGAGCCACCAACAGAGCAGCGCAGCGCTGATCACAAAGTGATTTCTCCACAGCCTTCACATCAACAGCGACAGCAACAGCAGCATCAACATCAGAGTCTATACATGCCTTCAAATTTTCAAAATACCGTGCATAATGCCATTGAAAAATATGTGCGAGAAACTGCTCCTGCACCTGCACCCCATTTAGACTATACCCGCAGAGGCACTACATTTACACGTCCATCAGCCGGTTATTATGGTCTGTCAGCTGTGAGTGGAGGAAATAGTAGTAGCAGGGGCAACGACGCATGTGTCAAATTGGAGCCGGATCCACCAGCGCTGGCACGTTCTTCACTTTACCATAATCCTTACAGTCCGTCTACAGCCCCATCAGCGAGTCCTTTCAAAGACAAGGAGCAGCAAGTGCTCGTTGCTGTAGACGTAAGTTCGCGCGACACATCGCCTTCTTTGGCACGTGCCTATCCCACCAACTACGATAAAGTTATGCCTCAGTATGGAACGCCAACAACGACGGGTGCAGCGATGGCTGGTGAGCAGAGGCGAAATACATTCAGCTCCATAAACAATTATACGGGTTATTATAATCATGGTACGCTATCTCCAGCAGCTGCTCAAGTGACTTCACCGTTGCCAGCCCAGCAGCTCTATAATAATACCCTGCCTCCGTCAAGCAGCACACATACAGCCGCGCCCAATTACTCCACGCTGCAAGTATATCCACATGGGCCTGACATCTGCTGTCAGTCGTCGACGGCTTTAAAATCAACTCCGTCGCTGCCCCCTGGTCCAAAGAAAACTCCAGCCGCTTCTAAGCCAAACTATCGAGCGCTAATCAATGACATGTTAAAGCGAAACACGACTAGTGAAGAGGAGCTCAATCTTCAAATTATAAAGAAGACGCTCAATATGGAAACGCCGGGAAGTCGGTTACCCAGAGTACCTACAGTACTTACCAGAATCCACCAGTCGCCAGTCACAATTACTGTTCATCCAACGTTGCCTCCAGTTATTCAAGAACCACCAGCACAGCTAAACCCACAACCACCGCCTCAGCCCACTTTGGCCTCCGCCCAGTCACCTTTGGATTTGTCCATGCGAACGATCAAACAAACCGCCGACTCCACAGAATATCAGCGCATGCCTACTGATTCATTAGGCACAGGCACAGGTACAGGTTTGCCACGTTTTGATATAACACCAAATTTTGCGCGCACCAACAGGAAAGCGTCGAGCCTATCAGCCGCATTGCCAGCAGCAGTAATACGGCAAGCGCCAGCTAATACATCGCCTTCAGTTGAAGCAACGCCCATGGTCATTAAAGCGGCACAGCAGTTGCGGCCCAGCGTATTGGAAACCAATCCTTTTGCGAGGAGACCCCAACTGCCCCCTGAGACAAGTGTTAAAGCAATGCCAAATCCAGCGCATAGTCCCAGCACAACTAGTACATGCACAGCCGTGAACACGATAACGAATAGTGCCCACAACAGCAGCAACCCGAACTATTTGGGTCGCAAGCGTCATCTACAGGAATACAACCAAGCCACGGCCGCGGCGGCAGCTGCAATAGAAGCAGCCACAGCAGCAGCAGCCAAACAGCCGCGTTTGGACACACCTCAGATAGAAGGCATTGTCAACACATCAGTGTCGGTTATAGCTGCCAATGAGCAAGCGCCGTTGGCAAAGCGGGTAGAACACCCTATACTGCCCTCCAGAAGCCGCGTGATTGTTTGTACACAGCCTAAGCAGGAACAGTTGGTGGTGCCAAAGACGGAGTCACGTATACGAACTAAGGCGGAGCTTAAAGGATTTACGTTCACGACACCAGATCTGACCATAGCTAATTCAACAAAAACTACACCAATAACAACAAAAGATATCCCAACTAGTATTGAAACCAACAACAGTGCTCCAGTGGATACTACCACACCCTCACCTGCACTACAACCCAATAACGGGAGCAATCACATTCAAATCAAATTGGAGCCGGTGCCCACTCCGGAACATGATGTGAAAGATGTGGACGATGGCGACGCGCCAAGCTTCAACAGCAGCAGTCTCTGTGACTGGGGTAGTACGTGCAACAATCTCGTAAAGCAACTGCTCAGCAAATCGTTGCCCGCAAAAACCACAACGGGTAATGAAAGCATTGCCCCAGCCAGCCGGATCAAGCTGGAGCTGAGCGAGGACGATCTACCCGTGGCGCGGATACTTAAGAGACAGCCGCTGGCAGCAGATATCGAATCGACGGCAACAACTACCACACAACTGACCAACACTACCACAACGAATGGGAATGCGTTCGGCGCCTCTCAAAAGAAGCTAAGCAAATCCGAGCGCGAAAAGAAGCGGCTGATGCAGGAGCAGCGAATAGCTGCACGATTGGCACCCACGGCTGGTCACAGCAGCAGTTCCGAGAGCGACTCAACTGAGCTACGTAAGCGTAAGACTGCCAGGCAAAAGAAACCTCCTATGCGCAAGAGTAAAGCACGTCGAGCAAATGATAAGGAGATGCAATTGAAGCATTGCGAGCAGCCAAGCAGCGATGATGAGCAAAAGCCAAATAGAGGGCAAGAACCGAAGAATTCGGCTAAGAAAACTAAAGTGCAATACTCGAGTGATAAGTGTAAAAAAAATCAAATCGAAACACAACGAGGAAGAGTAATAAGACAAAAGCCGAACCCAGATAGGAATGCTGACGATAAAACTAGCTCGGATGAAAGCGGAAAGAGTAAGGATGAAGAGCCACGGGAGCAGCTTGATGACGTTGTTGAAGAGGACGGCGAAGGAGAAGAAAATACGAATGCTGAGGAAGACAGCGCTTGCAATCAAAGTAAGTGCAAAGCAAAACCCAGTTTTAAAAATCGCATAGCACTTAACACTATGACGCGATCCAAGCGAAAAAAGGAACTCGAGCTCCAGCTGGCGAACAGCAAGGTGCTGCGAAATGACAAAATCATACGGAACTCGACGACAAAAATTAAGCGAAAATATGTACGTAAAATGGTGCCAGATGCTAAGAAGGAAATTATGATAACACGTCTGCGAAACAAACGAGATGAACGGATGGACATGACCCATCGGTCGGGACGTAAGCTAAAGAACAATCACAAGCCCGGCCATCCGACCAGCAACAAGACAAACATCAGTCAAACAAATGCAACACCACAGCAGCAGCTATTTCTGGAGGAATATAGGTATAAGTTGGCGCTTAAGATACCACAACGCTTGATCTCCATCAACAAGTTGAATAAGTTGCCTCAAGTAGCGGCGTCCTTACCGGATCTAGACCGTGGCCGGTATCTCACTCAGGATATGGCTTCCTTTAAGCCCACTAGAGGGCGAAAGTCGCGATCTAAACTACTTCAGCAGCAATCGCAGCAACAGCAAAAGGCGACACCTAAGTCTATTATCGATGTACTGCATCTCCGCGTTACCAGCAATGGCAGTCAACAACAGCAGACCAACAGCAATCTCAGCAACTGCGCCACAAGCGTTAATAATTATAGTGAAACCTCACAGACCTCTGCCTCGAATTCTTTGTATGAGCACTTGCAGGATGCGACGGAGCCCAGTGTGGAGGAGCATACTCTTGGCAAGCGTCACTTTAGCATATTCGATACAAAGGTACTGCAAAGTAAAACACGCACAGAATCCAAATTGCAGCAACGACGCGAGATCATACGCGAAATATTTGTGGGCACGGAGCGGCCAGCCTCAGCACCTCCAGAGTGTGCGCAGCCTGATCAGGCCGGCGAGGAATGCTCTGCATTGAGCTATCAGCAATATGAGGACTTTTTAGACCAAATGAATCGTATTGTTACCGCCAATAATAACAAGCTTTCCCGGCACAACATTAGCGGTGAAACAAAGCTAAAGACAGAAACAGATTTGCCCAGTCGACCCATTGTCTATAAGCGTAAGTATTTGCGTCGCAAGGGAAGCTCTGGCTTTGACTATATACGTAAAAAGAAGCGACCTACACATCACCATCAGAGTACCAGTACCAGCAATAGTACGAATAATATTAACACCGTTTCCGGTGAACATACGGCAACCAATATCTTTCCCATTCACACTGCAGCAGCAACAGCGGCAGAAACGGTGGCAGCCGATGATGAACGTCTGGATGATACCGATAGTACCATCGCGGGAAGCACATCCTATTTTCTGCCGATGACGGTGAAGACCGAAATGGACGTGTGCCGTGAAATACAGAAGTGGGTGCTCAACAAGGGCGTTGGTCAGAGCACAATGCACAAGGCGGCACGTCAGGGACTAATCGATGTGGTTGTATACTGCCTGGATCGTATGGGCATGAATCCGGATCAGAAGGACAATGCTGGTTATACACCGCTACACGAGGCCTGCACGCACGGTTGGTTAGAAATAGCCAGGATTCTGTTGCAATTCGGTGCCAATCACTCGGAGGCCGCCCAGTCTGGTATTCGACCACTTCATGGAGCTATAGAGAATGACCATGAGGAGGTGGTACGATTATTACTATCCTATGGCGCTGATCCGTTGCTGGCAACATACTCAGGTAAATGAGAAAAGAAAGAAGTAATAAATATTATTTATTATTAAATTACTATTCAATATATACACAATTATATAGGGTTTTTTCATAATCGGTCAGTCAATTTTTAAATATTTATTAAAATTGATTTTAACATTATCTATTGCCAATTTAAGCCAATATAAAGTAAGAAAGCTCTAGTCGAGACTGCTCGACTACGATCCCCTGAACTTAATTGCTTAATAACTTTTCTTATTGATGAACTATGCTCATGATATACGCCATATATCCCATTTTCAATGGGTTCAGGGTATAAAACGCTTTTAATCATCATTTTCATTTTATCTATTTGTAAGGAGATATAATTTAATTCATCTATGTTTCTTTTATCGTAAAGGCCAAACCCCACTCATGTTAGCATCAAGCAAATTGATGTTTGGCGTATTGAGCAGTCATCTCAGCGATGCACAAAGTGCGGCTGACGACATAAAACCAATGCGATTTCCAGGACCCTGGGAGATATTTGGTAAATATTATTCACATATATTTTGAATACACCACAGTTCAATAAACATATAATTTTGTACTCGCTTGCAGATGAAAAGGAAAATGGTTTTAATATTTTTGATAATGTACCGAATACAGCATGTGATATGAGCAGAGCTCAACCTAGAGGAATATTTAAGCAGGTACGCAGCCATGGCGACAACGACAATCCAGCAAGTCCCAAATCCGACAGTAAAACCAGAAATATAAATGAATTATTGCGCGAGAGGAGAGAGAGCAAGGAAACAACTAATGCGAATGGGGAGATAAATGCAAAGACTGCAACGAAAACAATAATTACATCAACAGCTACAGAATCAGCAAAAACCGTTAAACAAACAGAAGTTGCAGAAACGCAACGGCAAGTGAAATTAGAACCTGGTGCGGGCGTCGAGGATACAAATAACAACAATAATAATAGGAATAAAATTGATATTAACTTTGAGCAAAATGTATCGAGCATTGTAAATGGCAAGCATGAGGTCAAACAGGAACCGCAAGATGGCGACAATTTGAATATAAGTATTAATATGAAAGGTAATGATACAGTGGATGATCGTAACGAACAAGCTGTTGATGATCACGAATACGATGATGACGACGGCAGAGACGCGTTATCGGATGAATTGAACGGTGATATTTTTAAATTCGAAGAAGCCGATGTGCCCTTGCCACCACTATACTTGCTTAAAGATGAGGGCAGTGATAAATGGGTACTCCTTAATGATTTGTGCAATTTACTTAAGGTTAAGTCGAAGGATACGCTGCTTAATAAGGTAAGTCCACACAGAGAGATATAAATTGGCAAAAAATTATATATTGATTTTCTTCCTTTTTTAAATAGATCTGTCCAAACGGGAACAGCCTAGCCAGCAATCAGAAGCAACTGCTGAGAGAGTTCAAAATTGACGATTTTCTGAAACAGGCAACGTGCCTCCAGCTCCTGTGTGCCGGCGAGAAGTTGAATATGTTTAGCTCCTCTAAGGTTGTGCTCATCAGATACAACGATAGTGTTAAAAATTTGTTGGGTGTTAAAACCATTTTAATGAAATTTTAGGACGTGAATTTCCTAATGCATAAGACATTAGATAATACGTATGCATATATATATTGTGCTACTTATATACATATACATGTATTGGTGAACTAATATAGAGGTCAGTGTAGATCGTCTTTGGAAGACAGTCTTCTACGAAACAAAGCTAAGTGCAAAGTGATACAAAGGTGCTATACCCCCAAACATTCAACAAAATGTAAAAAGAGCAAAAAAAAAAAAACACATAGACAAAGAATAAGCAACGCAAATTGGCAAATTATATCATTCTTTGGCAAATGGAGCACCAGATAAATCGATAAATAAGCTAATCGAAATGTAAGAGACCTAATTCGATAAAAAAATAAAATTAGATTATATTAATGAGATAGGATATAATAACTATAAATAATGCAACAATGAGGTATTTATGTATTATGTATATTAAATTGAAATTATTAGTTATAACTAAGCAATTATAAATGATTAAACACTCCAGTGTGCATAAACTAATAAATATGTTTCAACTGATTAATAACTTTTTGATGTAATATTAAACTAATAATAAGATAATATTTAAGTGAAAAATCTTTTTTGCAATTTATATATAGAACACACAAAGGGCGTGTATATTATTAATATTAATATATATTTATATATTGCATTATATACATATGTGTATATTAAAATTGGTGTATTATATTGTAAATAAGAAATAGCAACCATGTTCAATGAGTATATTTATATAAAGAAGTGTAATTTGGAATAACACATATAAACGGAAATGCAAACTATTTTCTATTAATATAATGTAAAAACTTTCGTGTTTTGATGATTGTAAATCGAATCTTTGAAAGGTATTGCCAAGTAGTTTTCCAATTTTTACTTCAGAAAGAGACATAAAAAAATTGTTGAATTAGGTTAGTAAAAGAAATTAAAAATATATGTCGTTTAATTTTTTGTTTTTTTATATAATATAATATTCATAATTTTGTATCAACAATTATTCGAAATCAAATTGAAAATAATGGACCCAACCTAGTTGCATTACACATGTATATTTTAAAACCGAAAATGGACATGTCCCGCTTTTGGAGACAATATCCGGAAATCCCGACCTGACAGAATTGTTCCGGTTTCCCGCTGTTTCGATTTTTAAAAAATCGTAATTTTGACAAAATGCAAACTTGAAGAAGTTTTCGTCGAGACAAGTGAAGAAGAATTTTAGAGAAAAGTAGCGTAGATAAATAAGGTAGTACAGTTTTTTGGAATAAACGTTCACTCGTGCTGTGTTTCAGATGTATTAAAGATAGCTCGAATCCTGTATGCGATTCATGAGCACAATGCAAATCGCGAAAGGGTTTTTAAATACGCATTGGTCAGAACAAAGAAACAAGTTATTGGTGGAGAAGGTTAAAAACATACTTAGTGTTCAATATAATTTGGTGGACATAAGTTGTTCCCCTGAACCCTTCTATGAAACACAGATAGAACAAGTGAGAAGGTTGCGATCGGGTGTTACCGACTACGGAATACTCAATCACATCTCATCCGAAATTTATAAGCTAAGTTTTGCTCTAAAACTGTAGAAAATACAGTTTTTCTCGATTTGCCGCGCCCCTACTGGGCGTAGACATTCATTTTTGGTCAGTTAGATCAAGCTAACAATAACCTAACTGTAAATTTGTATGCTTACTCTCAAAAAATGTGAAAATTACAGGGTATTTTTCGAAATGCCACGCCTCTAAAGAGGCGTAAAAATTATTCTTGGGTCATCAATAGAGGAGGTTACTTATAATTTAACTATCCAAATTTGAAGCTTCTGCTCTTATAGTTAATAGAAAATATAAATTTATAGAATCATATCATTAGTTCACGTGTATTATCCAATGGACGTAGATATATCCACCATCGCTCATGATCTTGGGTGGTCGATGCGGATCTACATTCCAAAATTTAACTTTCTAGCTTTTCATTTAATATGATTCTTGGTGTATCGGAAAATACATTGTCCGATTTGCCACGCGGCGGATCGGAATATTTTAACACTTTGTAAATCGGAGATATACACGAGTATGTGTTTTAAATTTAAAGTCTCTAGCTTGAATAGCGCCGAAATAATTGCATTGGTACAGACAGACGGCTTTGCACAAACCCAATATACTATTTTCACTTTCGTGAATGAGTATTAAAAAAACATCTAGATGACTTGAAAGTTTGTAGATTAAAGCTCTGCAAGATGGCGCCAGTTTGTTTTATATTATTCCAATAGGTGCCGTTTTTACCAAAGCCACAGCACGAATGCACAGTTGCTTTGATCTATGAAAGCTTTAAGCTCAAAGCTTGCGGTGTCAGCCATATGATGCCGTCCTTGTTCTTCAAATGCGCGTTTAAAGGCCAAGAATAATTTTAGCATTGTTGCTGGTGCTTGCTGTCATTTACACGTCCTTGGCCCCACTCCGCATTTGAACCGTCTATCTCTGTGTACTTTTATGCTTGTGTTCGTATACTGTGTGTATGTATGCGTCTGTGCTTTTCTCTTCTTCTACCTACGCCAACAACTTCGCTACTCTTACTGTGCTCCCGTTTGTGTTGGCCTACAGACCTAATTCTTGCGTGTGTTGTGTGCTGTGCACAGTTTTCCCGAAAAAAAAAATCGAAATAAACAAATAGAAAGTAAAAGCAACTAAATTCGAGCATCATGGCGCGTGTCGACGGTATGAAACGTGAAGTTAAAATTGTGCGAGCATTGCAGTTTCCAAAACAAAACAAAAGCTACAAAAATTGAAACGCAAGATGGAAATGTGTATTGATATTTATGACTAGCAGCAGCAGCTGAAACTATTTAGTTTAAGTAATGGTGGTGCAAGTTTTGTAAAACTATCACATACCTATGTATGTACTATACTATGTATGAACGCAGATAAATAGTTTTTGTTTGGTTATAGAATTGGAGCACAGCAGCTAAAATAAATTGGAGCGCCCCCTACCAGCCAACCGCAACAACAACGCAACACCACGTAAATGTTTGCAATAATATGTGTATAACTGAATACACACACACATACATATATGCGTGCGCTGTTCTCATGTGTTCATTCGTTTGTAATAGGGAATTGCAATTTGTTTTTGTAGGAAGAGCTTTTCGCTTGTTGCGCGTGCTCGCCTTTCCCTGCGTTTGGTTCTCGTCACTGCCGTTGTGCAAGAAGTTTTTGTGTGTCTCGGCATTTGCAATACATTTTCTTTTTTTTTTACTTATACACATACAAACATAGAAATAAGCAGTAAACGCCAATGCCATCGTCGCCCCATGCAAAACAAATTCCACACGCGAAAGACAACAGTAAGAACGAATAACGAATAGGCAAAATGAAAACGAAAGAAGCAATAGAATTGGCGCAGTGCAAATAAAAATATACTAGCGACGAAAAAAAAAATAAAAATAATAATAATAAAAGCTAGCGCAACTGTGTTCCTGAGTGCCACAAAAAAAAATAAATAAAAATATGCTGAAAAAGCTCTTGACGGCGACTTCGCAGCTGCTGCTGGCGCAGGCGGAAACTGCATCAGTGCTGATTGTAGCGGAGAGATCGAAGCTACAGGGGCAGCATGAATCACTATAGTTCTTCTTTGTGCGAATAACCGTGTGAAGTGTACAAACAAATAGAGAAGGTGAACGAGGCAACAGCAACAACGGCAAGAGTAGCACTTTTGCTTTCGATCCAACTGGTTTCAAGAACTCTGCGCCCCAAAAGACGCCGGAGTAGTATCAGCGTTTTTATTGTGATCTGTTAAGCGGTTGATGTAGCGCATGCGCTGCAGCAACACGTTACTGCCGGCGTCACAAAAATAAAGCAAATTTATTGAATGAATGGAAGGTTTGTGGTTATATATTGTTGTACCCGACTTCTTTATACTTTATGACCCGCTCGCCATAGCGAACTCCCAGAAGTGTAGAATATAAGTATATTATGTTCTTGTCCGTATGAATATAAAGGTATTTATTTGGGAAATACTAATCTGTAAATATCAGGAGACTTGCTCTGTGGGGTTCTAGAGTAGAGATGGGCATGGGCTGGGTTTTTGTCGGGCACCCGTGAGTATACGCTGGAAAATCGAGTTTCGGGTTGGGTGCGGACGGGTACGGGTTACGCCGCTAAACCTGTTTTACCCGAAATAATTTAGAAATATGAGAACGCAATGGTGAAATATTTACATGTTTTCAATATTAATTGCAAATATTTTCTTTTCTTAACTACGTTTGTTATCGATTATCTCAATTACAATTATCATCAGCATCCAAACATATTTTATGTAGCTGTTTTTCCGTCATCAAGTAAAATATTAAATGAAAGGCGCAAATATTGTTAAGTGCGAATCTCTATATGTTACTTTTTTTTATAAAAACATGTAATTTAGGTGCTTTTTTAAATTTATACATTGTTTTTTTCATTGAAATTAAAAATAAAAAAATAAAAATTTCGGGCGGAGGGTCGGTTTGCGGGTTGCAAAAATTTTTTAGCTGTCAAGTGCGTGTAAAATTTTGCTCTTCGGCCCATGGACATGGTCGGGCTGGGTGCAATATTTCGGCCCATTCCCACCTCTATTTCAGAGAGTTGAAAATTGGAATATCATATGTATATATATACAGATATTAACTGTAAGTCCATACTCCGTATTAATGGGAAACAGAAAACCTGGCCTGTTAATAAGAGTAAAGTATTTTTGTGCCTTTTGTTATATTATCACTAATCATGCAAAAGGTATAGCATTAGTAACTAGTCAACTTTGTATAGCAAAATAAGGTATTCTATTAATGGTATATATTCTTATATAGGTTTGAGCAGAGCGGGATTAACAAGTAAACAGATAAGGCAGTTGTTTATTAATTTATTTTCTTTAAAACTAAAATGAAATTAAAAATTTTCTTTTGCTAAACAGTTAGATTTATAGCTAATAGCCTCTTCCGAATTTTCATAGCATACAATTTTAAAACACAATAACTAGAAATACTATTAAATAGATAATCTGGCAAGGCTAGCTTTGGCATCCTGGCACCTGTGAACACTCCTAAATATTCGGACCCCAATTTAAATCTTTTAAAGTACATTAACAGATGTATTTGTACAAATTAGTTAGGGCAAGCTATAATTTGCTTTAGTTATTAATATACTCATAATCCGTATTGATATTTTATATACAAGTATGTATATGTATGTAAATGTATATGTATATCCACAATACCTAACAACTTCAAACCCAGGTCTTAAAAATTTGTACAGAAAAGAACATATGTATATGTTTATATACGGGAACAAATATAACACACGTAGGCAACGGAATATTTCAGTTGAATGTTTGACGCGTATTGATTTGAGGTGCTTTTTTTTTTTGTTGATCGAGCCTCTTTTTTTAATCTTACTTTTTTTATATAAATTATGATACATATAAATAATGTTTATGTATATACTTTAATTTATTTTAGTTGGAGTGCAAAAACTACTATAGTTACCTGTCCAACCGCTTCAGTTACACATCACTAAAACTTGAAGGAAATCAAAAATAAGTAATAATAATATTACTATGGAAAACTTTACTGTACCTCTGGTGGCCGAAAGCAGCGCCAGTAGTATCGTTAGTTATGCAGCCAGCAGAAATAACGATAGCAACAACCAACATCTCCAGCACCTACAACAGCAGCATCATCAGCATCAATTGCTGTCTCTTTATCACAAGGACCAGATGTTGGCCGCTGGCAGTAGTCCGATTTCACCCTTCATTAACTATGCGCAATTGCAAAAGGACACTCAATCCAATCCTGATTCCTATCCAACGGTTGACAGCTTTACCTCATTGCAGGCCATCGACAGCAGTCAATTGGATGTTGTTGTATCTTTAAATGGACTTTGCGATCGCATATTCGCCAGTCCTAATCCGCATAGTAGCAACAGCACAAACAACAATCTTATCGATGCAAAGGTATCAGAGCCACCTAGCGGTAACAATCGTCCGCTCATTTTAGAATCAGTCACAATGTCATCCTTTGCTAATATACTGTTCAATAGCCGCAACAATACCAATACCGATACCAATACCAATACCAATACCAATACCAATACCGATACCAATACCAATACCAA